ATGTACTGCAAAGGGTTCTTCCTTTCGATCGATATTTATTTAAATCAATGGCGTAGAAGTCAAAGTTATACCCGAGTTCGAATACTTTTGCGAGTAACTGTACATTGTTACAGCTCGCGAAAACAGACAGACCTGTAAATAAAAATAAATACCTATAAATAATATATATAAAGACCTATAAATAAAAAATGAGACAGACCTGTCTACCTGATTTTATTTATTTTATACTCGAAACGGTTGTTTCATGTATCACCGTTCAGTTTGAAAATACGCTTGAAACGGTAACCCTTCCATCGTGTTTCTATTCATTCGGATAACCGAGGTGCAAACGTTTATGCGTGGTAACGCGAGGAAACAGATACAGATACTATTTTGTTTGCAGTTTTCATACAAAAAGCGGAAAAAACATGTAACAATTAAAATTATATATTTAAACCTTACTTTTTCATTTTATATTAGTAGTACATATATTTGCGTTTTTGTTGGGATAGAATAATGAAATATAGATAGAATAATAAATATAATTCGTTAAATTTACGTAACGGTACTTTTTCGTAATAAAATGATCAATTTGCCGATCGATGTATCTTAAAATAAAGAAATGTTCATCTTCATACATTTCTGCTGATTGAACTGAAATTTTTCGCTTCAAGGTCACCCGAAGGTTATACTGTGGCAGGTCGTTGAATTCGTCTCGACACGAGCTACATTAATGCGAAGTAAAAAATGTGCAGTGCTATTAAAAAACATTAAGCTGACCCGAAATTTTTATTGAAAAAATAATAATTTTTTAAAATTACATATTTCGTCGTATAGCAAACAGTGAACCGATGAACTTGTTCGAAACACTTTTTCGTCAGATTGACACAAGTGCACCAGAAAATGTGGGGAATAGTTAAGGAAACACTGTGCATATGCACGAATACCAATCAACGTAACCTACAAACGAACGCGGTTCTAGAGCGAATTATGTAGTTCGTTACAGGATGCCCCGCTGTAACGACTTCCTGATTCCAGTTCGAAAGCGTCGACAATGAAGAAATAGTATAATTCTAGAAACTTCGATGTAGATGAAAGCGAAGGGTTACGCATCGCAAATAATAAAAGTGGAACTGCGAGAAGCCCTTTAAAAACGTTCGAAAAATCAAAGAACAAGATGAGACCAGAACCGATCGTGCGCATAAAATTTGTACACGAAATCGTCGACAATGAAGAAATGAAATAATTCTAGAAACTTTGATGCAGATAAAAGCGAAGGGTTACGCTTCGCAAATAATAAAAGCGGAACTGTGAGGAGCCCTTTAAAAACGTTCGAAAGATCGAAGGACAAGATGAGTCCAAAACCGATCGTGCGCATAAAATTTGTACACGAAATCGTCGACAATGAAGAAATGAAATAATTCTAGAAACTTTGATGCAGATAGTCCAAAACCGATCGTGCGCATAAAATTTGTACACGAAATCGTCGACGATGAAGAAATTAAATAATTCTAGAAACTTCGACGTAGATGAAAGCGAAGGGTTACGCTTCGCAAATAATAAAAGCGGAACTGTGAGGAGCCCTTTAAAAACGTTCGAAAGATCGAAGGACAAGATGAGTCCAAAACCGATCGTGCGCATAAAATTTGTACACGAAATCGTCGACAATGAAGAAATGAAATAATTCTAGAAACTTTGATGCAGATAAAAGCGAAGGGTTACGCTTCGCAAATAATAAAAGCGGAACTGTGAGGAGCCCTTTAAAAACGTTCGAAAGATCGAAGGACAAGATGAGTCCAAAACCGATCGTGCGCATAAAATTTGTACACGAAATCGTCGACGATGAAGAAATTAAATAATTCTAGAAACTTCGACGTAGATGAAAGCGAAGGGTTACGCTTCGCAAATAATAAAAGCGGAACTGTGAGGAGCCCTTTAAAAACGTTCGAAAGATCGAAGGACAAGATGAGTCCAAAACCGATCGTGCGCATAAAATTTGTACACGAAATCGTCGACAATGAAGAAATGAAATAATTCTAGAAACTTTGATGCAGATAAAAGCGAAGGGTTACGCTTCGCAAATAATAAAAGCGGAACTGTGAGGAGCCCTTTAAAAACGTTCGAAAGATCGAAGGACAAGATGAGTCCAAAACCGATCGTGCGCATAAAATTTGTACACGAAATCGTCGACGATGAAGAAATTAAATAATTCTAGAAACTTCGACGTAGATGAAAGCGAAGGGTTACGCTTCGCAAATAATAAAGGCGGAACTGCGAGGAGCCCTTTAAAAACGTCCGAAAGATCGAAGGACAAAATGAGTGGAGAACCGACCGCGCGCATAAAATTTGTACACGTTTCGAAAATGAGTTTTTCTACACCTCGTTTTGGGTTGCAGTAGGGGTCCATTTCGCAACGGCGATCATAAAACATGCGAACAAGTTCTCGAGGCAAATTGGCTCGATAAGGGTTTTTATGTTAAGCCGTCGGTCGTCACCGGGATCTCTTCCTCCGCGCCTCCGAAGTTACCGTCGGATCACCGATTTTTGCTCGATCTAGGACGTTTACTTATCTCGACGTTCGTGAAAGGTGGAAGCTTAACAGGAACACTGCACAAATTGCGAGTCCGGTGTTTTCATCGGCCGACGTGGATGACGTTGCCCGGTGCGCCGCTTATTTGGAAGAAAGCCGACCGCTCGGGGAAGAGCTGCGCAACTAAATCAGGAGAATGCCGGGTAGAATGTCCGGCTGGGACTATCGTCCTAACCGGTCTTGCGAAACCTTCTTCGCCGGCTAATGGGAGATCCGGATAGTAGTTCAACATGGCGGATGGAGAACGCGAAGACAAATGCCTGCCCCGTATTCGAGAGACCGAAGACAATATCGTCGATGAGTAAACTTCGGCCACGGTTCCGTGATCGGTGTATAGAGAGCCCAAAAAGAGGAGTCGCCCGGGACACACTCGTAAACCAGGGCCCAACCCGGACCAGACCTGGTCCTAAATTTTATTTGAAATTAAAATACGAGATAAATGCCTGAAATCGTTCATTTCGAGCCGCGATTTCCAACGCTGCTGTTCGAGAACAACAAATCTACGAAAATTTCAAAAATATCTTAGCTTATGATTTTCGAAACTACGAGTTCACATAAATGGTGTCTATAAAGTAGATGTTCAAAGTAGTTCAGCGATATTTTCCGAAGAACATGGAGGACTGTTAAAAGAACGCCAACAAACGCGAAGTCGGTGCGCTATAATAAATGGAAATACATCCAAAATCGGAAGTCGGCAAAATTTTCTTTGTAATTAAAATAGGAAACGACTACTTCGAATCATCATATCGAACCGTTGTTTTTAATGCTGTTATTTGGAAGTAAAAATAATATCCGTGCGTTCGAAGTAATAAATATCTTAGATAATTGATTATCTCGGTATTATTTTATTTCAAATATGACCAAGGAAATCATTCTTATATTATTATTATAATTATTATTATATTGTTATTATAATTATTATTATTATATTATTATTATTATATTATTATAATTATTATTATATTATTATTATAATTATTATTATATTATTAATGTTATATAATAATATTTTCCTTATCAAAGAATATTCTAAAGATCATCTGTAACATATTTTTACAAAATAATAAAAATAATCATCCTCCACTGGCTATTATCGTATAATGATGTAATTGCCCATTTATCTTGGAGAAATGTCATTGAAAATGTCAGTATATACCAGACTTAGTGCTGATAATTAGATCATCGTGCAAATAATTTCGAACAAGAATTTCACAAAAATTACATCAAATAATTATTTCGAGCAAAACAAGTATCAGCAAATTTTAGCAGTAAATTCTTTTTCATCAGTAAAGTTTTCCTTCTCGATTACAACAGATAGAACTCGATAAAACAAATACTGATGTTCATTGTTAATTGTAATAAGATCTGTTTCAAAGAATCAATAATTGAGTGTAAATACAAAGTACAGAAAATATCAATTTATAGTATATTTATTTAGTAAAAAAAATAGAACAATCTATATATTTCATTTACGATAATAACAAGATTTGTTTCGAAGAACCAAACGACGAGTAACAATCCAAATTGAAACAAAAATAAATATAATACTCCGAATTATAAGTATGTCTCGTAAAAAAACAAAAAAGCTGGACAACTACCGCT